CAGCATCATAGGAGCAGAGAGGCTGACGTTTCGGGCCTAGACCCTTCTCTGAATTATTTTACAAGGCCTATTTTTCATAGACTTCCTTCTTGCATGAATACTACACCTTTAGCAATATCCTTCTGGTACTGACTGTAATTCTCATGGAGAGTACCATCTCAAACAGTTTAATCTCTCTCATTTTGATGCTGACTTGATACAAAAACAGAAATTGCTGGAGAAGCTCAGCAGGTCTGGTAGCATCTGTAAAGAGACAAACAGAATTAACATTTTGAGTCCAATGACCCTTTTTCAGAGCAGTCAGTGGCCTCGAAACATTAACTCTGCTTTCTCTCCACAGATGCCAGATCTGTTGAGTTTTTACAGCAGTTTCTGTTTTTTTTTTCAGATCTTCAGTGTCAACTGTTCTTTGTTTTATTTTAGTGACTGGCCTGATGTTTGTTGACTACATGTGCTATTTTGTTTTTGTGAATTCATTGCAGTTCTCCTCCTTGTAGTAGTTTTCTGATCTGTTAAATATTTTATTTCAGAAAATCTTTTAGTGCTTACAGTAGCAACCAAAGAAACAGATGGCTTCAAACGCTTCATGCAGACAGCTAAGCACCTCAACTATACAGTCAAGGTAAGCACTTTCAATATAGTTCATAAAGAATGCTTCAAGTTCTAAAGTTTCAAAGTAATTTGTTGACGTATTTATGGTGCCTTTATAAGCCTCACTTCCTCACATAGTCTTCCTACTCTCATTGCAACCATCATTGATAAAAGCATGACTGATCACTTTCTTGCCTACCGTCTTCATTATAGGAGTTAAATCATCTCTGCCTGGGCTGTTACTGCAGAGATAACAAGGTGTGGAGCTGGAGGAGCACAGCGGCCAGGCAGCATCAGAGGAGCAGGAAAGCTCAAACGTCAACTTTCCTGCTCCTCTGATGCTGCCTGGCCTGCTGTATTCCTCCAGCTCCACACTGTGTTATCTCTGACTCCAGCATCGGCAGTTCTTACTATCTCTGTTGCTGCAGAGGTCCTTTAAGCAATGACCTGGGCTTAAGCATTTTCATCCATTTCATCAGTTACCATCACAAGGTCACGAGTGGGAGTGTTTGCTGATTTGCTCAATGAAAGTTCAGTCCCATTTACAACTCCTCAGGTACTGAAGGAGGCTGTGTGCAAAAAGGCAGGGCCTAGGCAGTGTTGAAGCATGGACTGGAAATGGGGAAAGTACGTTCTCGCTATACAAGTGCCTGATCATCACCGTAAGAAAAGTCTCGCCTGACTTCTCTCATGTTTAATAAATACATTTTATGAGTGAGGGGTGGAGGACAGTGCAATAACGACAGAGTCACACAATACAGTAGAAACCCTTCAGCCCATTGAATCTGCACCAATTAAAAAACTACTTGTAAATCTACACCAGTTGAACCGTAGCCTTGAATGTTATAACATTTCAAGTGCTCATCCAAGTACTTTTTAAACGTGAGATTTCTCACCTCAACCACCCTCCCAGGCAGTGCATTCCATGCTCCGCCACCCTTTGGATTAAAAAAAAACCTCAAACCCCTCTAAACCTCCTGTCATTCAACATAAAATGATTCCCCCTTGTTACTGACCCTTCAGTTAAGGCCCACAGCTGCCTTCTATCCACCCTGTCCGTTCCCCTCATCATCTATATACACCTCCATGAGATTCTTTCCTCAGCCTACTCTGCTCCCAAGAAAACAACCTGAGTTTATCCAGCCTCTCTTCATTGCTAAACTGCTCAATCCCAGGCAACATTCCAGTGAATCTCCTCTGCAGCCCCTCCAGTGCAGTCACATCCTTCGTATTGTGCGGAGCCTGGAACTGCACACAGTGTTCCAGCTGTGGCCTCACCAAAGTTCAGTACAGCTCCAACAAGACCTCCCTGCTCTTATAATCTATAAAGACAAGTGCCCACCTGGAAGTTAAATATTGCAGGGTTAAGGTCCAGCTATATCCCTCACGAGTATCTCGACAAACCTAGCTCAATTCAACCTTTCAAGATTAGTTACTTCCCACTTGTGTTGCAAAGGTTTAGTTAGTAATGCTACTCAAGAAATATATCTGTTAAGAGACAAATGAAAACTGCATATCACCCACAGGGCAAACATAGCTTGGTTTCCAGAAGTCAGCAATTTTCCATTTGAATGTTGAATGTCGAATCATGGGAAAACTTTACATCTGAGTCCATACCAATCTAATATTTACAGGAAAGATGTGGAAGCGTTAGAAAAGGTGCAGAGGAGATTTACCAGGATGTTGCCTAGACTGGAGGGAAGGTCTTACGAGGAAAGGTTGAGGGAGTTAGGGCTTTTCTCTTTAGAACGACGAAGGATGAGAGGTGACTTGATAGAGGTGTACAAAATGATCAGAGGTATAGATAGAGTAGACAGCCAGAGACTTTTTCCTAGGGTGGAGGTAGCTTTTACGAGGGGACATAGTTTTAAAGTGAAAGGAGGTAGATATCGGGGAGACGTCAGAGATAGGTTCTTTACTCAGAGAGTGGTAGGGGCGTGGAATGCATTGCCGGAGAGGGTAGTGGAATCGGCCTCATTAGGGGCATTTAAGCGGCTATTAGATAGGCATATGGATGATAGTATAAGGTAGCGATGGAGGTTAAATAGACCTTAGGTTTAGGGTACAAGTTCGGCACAACATTGTGGGCTGAAGGGCCTGTACTGTGCTGTACTGTTCTATGTTCTAATATAGTATCAATATCCATTGATTCCTCTTTCACGCACTCTGGTGCTGGCATAATGAGGGAAGCAGGTGACTGAGGTTTCAGCAGTGAAATACTTCTGTCCTGCTCTGACATTCTTTGAGGAGTGCTTTGGGATGGTGAGCCTGGTAGTGGGGGAAGAAATTGCTGATATTGTGAATGTGAGGCACTCACAACATAAAGACCATGTGCAACTCTTTAACCCGAAACAAGAAGAGTGCTGGAGAAACTCAATGTAGGGGCAAATTACTGTAGATGCTGGAATCTGTTTTGAAAATAAAAAGTGCTGGAAATCACAGCGGAGAGACAGCAAGTTCTGAAGTAGTCATCTAGACTTGACACATTAGCTGTCTCCATGGATGCCAACTGACGCCCTGTGATTTCCAGCTCCACTTGTTTACAGTGCCAGAGAAACTCAACAGGTCTGGCAGCATCTGTAGAGAGAAAACTAGAGCTAACATTTTGAGTCCAGTGACCCTTTGTCAGGACTGAAGTTAGTTGGGAAGTGATGGTGTTAATGGTCAGGTTGGGGGGATGAGGGAGAGAGAATTGGGTAAAATAGATGGAGATGGTACCCAAAGAGAGGGTAAAAAGCAGATGCAAACAAAGGGGTTGTTGATGATAAGCCAGGAGGAAGGCAAATGCTGAATGGCTGCTAACAGGAAGTGTGTATAGTTGAAACTGAGATGATTGTGCTAGGTATAACTCATACAAATTGGACCTGTGGGTGTAGGGGTGGGTTTAATACATTTCAGACCCATGTGACAGCTGGCCAGACTGATGGTCTATCTGATGGGTAGACTAGAAACTAAACATCAGAAGCCTGTCGCTTGTGATTTAAAGGGATGACTGGAAACAGAGGTGTTTTTCCTTAATCATGCAACTCTCCTCTCACCTAGCCACAGCTACTCTTTACCCCCACCTCTGATGTCACCAGACTGTCAAGATTGTTCACACTAAGGCTTGGGGCACCTGCTGCCAATACGTAGTGGAGAAAGACCACAGTCTGAGATCTATCTACTGAGGTTAAATGGGGGTCTGTTCTGTGATCAGCCCTTCCCGCTGCCTCAAATATATGTACCTATAATTGTTCACAAGTAGGAAATGTCTTGGGTTTATTTGTTGGATAGTCAAACTCCAGTGTTTGTTTGTTCCTTCATAATGCTGCTGTACAGAACCAAATTACTTTAGTGACTATGTATATAAAGATTCTTTTACGAATAAAGTTTATTTTTGAAAAAATACATCAGGAGTGTTCCAATAGTAAGAAGCAAGGGTGCTAGAGAAACTGAACAGGTCTGGCAGCGTCTATGGAGAGAGAAACAGAATTAACGTTTTGACTCTGCAAAGTTTTGACACTCTACAACCCTTCTTTGGAAGGAGTGTTAGTCTTTGCATCCTCATGTGAAATGGGTTTTTGTTTTGCTCCTTTGTGCAGGTACTTGGTGCAGAGGAGGAATGGCGCGGGGGAAACATACCTCACTCAATTGGTGGAGGACAGAAAGTGCGACTGTTGAAGGAAGAGATGCAAAATCATGCTGACCGCGATGACCTTGTGGTGTTATTCACTGACAGGTACGGTGTGCTTGAAATGGTTGTCCTGGAAAACTGCGCTGCTCAGTGGCATTCGGGTGGACAATTTTGTGGAACCTTGATCTATTGAATCCAGTTATTCACTGCTTTGGTGCATGTAATCAATAGCATGTTTTAATACTATGACTGACCGGAACGTCTCTGAACTGCTGTGTCTGATGTGGCAGAGTTTGAAGTATGAGTTCTATTTATGCATCATCTGGCCCACGGAGGAAGGAGATTTTCATCCTGTCTTGTCGACTGCTTTCAACATGTTTTAAATATTCTTTAACCAATTCTTATGTTTAGAAATAACTTACTGTGGCTTTGAGTATCGTTGAACAACACACTGAAGGGTCAAAATTCTTGCAAGCCATTTTGTTGCTTTAATTAACATCTTCGTGACTCTTTCTCAGTGCTATTTTTGTAACCATTCTATTTCTTCACTGGGTACTGTTTCCTTACCCTGAATTATCATTTAGCATGGGGCTTTTGTGGCACACTGGTAGTGTTCCCACAGACCAGGATTCAAGTCCTAGAGGTGTTCTAGAGGTGTGTCATGGCATCTGTCTGAAAGGTTGATTTAGAAGGTAAATGCCGAGTTGGATAATTTTCTGAAAATTATTTTATAAAAATGCATAAACAGCTTTTGGGTGCAGTTGCTGTTGACTGCCATTCACTTAACCTTTGACTTGTAATGCTTTAGAGAACAAGAATAAGACTTTAAGGCTGGAATGGTGGCTCAGTGGTTAGCACTGCTGCCTCACAGCACTGGGGACCCAGGTTCAATTTCAGCCTCAGGCAACAGTCTGTGTGGAGTTTGCACGTTCTCCCCGTGTCTGCGTGGGTTTCCTCTGGCTGCCGCGGTTTCCTCCCACAGTCCAAAGACGTGCAGGTTAGTTGGATTGACCGTGGTAAATGTAGAGTTATGGGGATAGGATGGAAAGGGGATGTTCTTTAGAAGATCAGAGCGGTTTTGATGGGCTGAATGGCCTCTATCTGCACTATAAGGATTCTATGATCCTCGGAATTTATCACAGTAACTACTATTAGAACTGAAAATGCTCGTCTGTTAGGGTAACCACACTGCAAACTCACCGGTCACTATCTGGAGCTAATCCCTGCTTTTGGCACAATGACAGAAAACACGTCCCAAGAAAATAAAAACTATTAAGACAAGAGATATCTTAGCAATTTAAAGGTGTTTGCTGCTTTCAAGTTTTGGTGTCGCCTGAATATACTTTAATGTAAGTCCCCTGGCGGATTTGTACTTAAAGGAAATATCTTGTGTGGTATAGTGCCCCACAAAAATCAGAAAGGTGCAGGTTTGCTGTCCAATGCTTTGCTTTGTTGCATCTATCAATCTTAGAATTGCGGATGCTGGAGATGTGAAATGAAAGCAGAAATTGCTGGAGAAACTGAACAGGTCTGGCAGCATCTGTGGGAAGAAAGTAGAGTTAACATTTCGAGTCCAGTGACTCCTCTTCAGATTTATTTGATCGCAACCAGGTAGAATTAAGAATATTGCAAGTGGCCATCGTGGCTTCTGCAATGAAGGGTAAAAATTCGCCAGGGTTGCAGTTCTGGAGCTATTCCCTGATTCCTCTGCCCCTCCACTTCTTTGCTGGCATCTGGTCAGAAGATATTCAGGTCTGGCTGCATTGCATTTCATGCTGATGTCTCCCACTACCCCATGGTCAGCACATGAAGATAGCTGTTTGAATGAAACAGCAGAGGGCTGGTGGTACCCTGTAAATCTTTTCCACAGCAAGACTGAAAATACTGGATGCATATAATAACAAGAGGATATGTGCTACATTTACAGATGCTCTTCAAACCTAAGATTCTGCACCCCTGGTGTCTTTGTACCTAAGGTGGCACCATAAGTGGCGACTTGTAAACTTTTCAGTGTACTCATATGAGTAAATGTGACAATAAACCTAATTTAATTCAATTCAAAAGAACACTTTGTAGAGTTCAGCCTTCCAGCCCTCTAATCCTGATTGAGACCAATTAAATGGTATTTCAACAAGCAAAGGAGGGTTGGGGGGGAAGGTGGGAAGAGCTCCCTGGCCTTTGTGAGAGCTTCCTGGGGTCAGGGGCTGGGGGAAGCTCCCCCTTTAATTAATGTAGGCCCAGACTGAAGGAGCTTTAAGCACAACCCTGCCAACAAAAGGGCCTGTTCTTTAAATGACCTTATCACTTTTTAAACAAAAATCACTTGTGATGTGGAATAGGCCAGCGTTTATTGCCCATCCCCCAGAGGATAGTTTAGAGTCAACCACTTCACTGTGGGAGAGGGTCACTTGTGGACCAGACAAAGCAAAGAGCCTTCCTTCCCTAAATGATGTAATTGAACTTGGATGGATTTATCCTGACAGTTATCCACAGTTTCATGGTCAATATTAGATTATTAATTCCAGATTTTTTTTTTAATGAATTGAAATATCACCATCTGCCATAGTGGGATACAAACCCTAGTCTCCCTGACCATTACCCTGGATAATATCACTAGGCCCTGACTCCTCACTTCAAGTGGACTTCCCACCAACTTATTAAGTTGGTGATCACCTTCGGTGCAAAGAGGTGCTTCATTCGTCTCTGCTTTAATTCACCCTTTACCCTGAACATGTACCCTTTCTGTCTTGATATTTTAACCCTGCTGAAAATGTTGTTCAGGTTTCCTTTAGGAAGCTCTCTTTCCTCAATAAGATACTATTATCTAACCGTTAATTCCTCATCACTGTTCCATCTGATCTCAGAGATGAGCTTTAAGTTGCTGTACACCGTACTTGCAAAATGAAAGAATATAATGGAGAAAATGTAATTTTAACATTTTGCATTAAACTAATTTTTAACAACTGTCTAATGTAAAAAATGTTTTCCAGTAATTTTCACAGGAGTTGGCCCTATTTTCCTCCATTATTTTTCCACTAATCTTTGCCAGAGTTACAGCAGGATATCAAGAAATCTCTGCAGAAATTTTGCCCTGTTAATTTTACCCTTAATCAATTCATTCTGCCGTGCGCATTTTGAGCTGAAAGCTAGACAATAAAGGTCTGACAGATCTCTTCACAAAGTAAAATTAATTGGCTTAACAGAGAATGTTCAAAGTGCTGCTTGCACTTCAAATATGCTTTTTAAATTCTGAAGAGATTTGACAGCTACAGTGGACTGTAAACTGAGTGTACATAAGAGTTCCAGATGTACAAAATGTTCTTGTTAACAGTTCCATTAAATGCAAGCTTGGTTACACTGGTAGTAATCTCAAATTCTTGTTTTTACTTCAGAATGATCAGCAAAACTTGGTTTACTCCCTTCTTACGTGTCAGTATAGTATTCCAAATCTGTCCTAATTATGACATGCCAGAGTAAGTAAATCACTGGGTCCATGGCAGGAAAATAACTGTAATTTGACACTGAGTTGACCATCAGCCTTATTTGCTCACCACTGCAGAGAAGAGCTGTAACAATGACTTTGGGAAATGTAAATTGTTACTCTGGTGTGGTTTTTAGAACATAATAGGTCAGAACAGATCAAGCTTTATTTTGCTTTTATTCTGCCGCTAGGCCCGAAACGTCTGCCTTTCTGCTCCTATGATGCTGCTTGGCCTGCTGTGTTCATCCAGCCCTACACCTTGTTGTCTCGGATTCTCCAGCATCTGCAGTTCCTCCTATCTCTGATGTGGTTGTGTTTCATTTGTGGTGGCACTGCTTTTAAGAAGTGACGCAGTATTCCAGTCTCTAGCTCGGAGTTTGTTGTTTCTAATCGCATACAAATATTCATAGCCGAATCCAACTGTATACGCATGCAGCTCCCAGAAGAGTTAGCCTGACGCTTTGGTTGCTGCTGTTTCCCACTACTACATTGTCCAGCTTAGCAATACGGTGAATAATTTGTGAAATCTGTATTTCTGAGATGAGCAAAGACTGGAATCTGGATTGTGTGTCCGAAATGCTCACCAGAGAGAACTTTCATCAAATTTACCAGTGAAACAGTTGAAACTAAAATGCATTCAGCACTGAGATGCTGAGTGAGGAGGCAACAGCCTAGTGATATTATCACTAGGCTATTAATCAAGAGACCCAGGTAATGCTCTGGAGAGCAAAAACGGAACTTGCTGGAGAAACTCGGCACATCTGGCAGCTTCTGTTGGAGAGAAAGCAGAGTTAACTTTTCGGGTCCAGTGATTCTTCTTCAGAACTGTTCTGGAGATCCATGGCAGATGATGGAATTTGAATTGAATAAAACTATGGAATTAGAATTCAATGAAAATCTGGAATAAAGAGTCTGATAATGACCATAAGGCCGTTGTCTGACTGTCATAAAAACCCATCTGGTTCATAATGTCCTTTAGGGAAGGAAACTGCCATCCTTACCTGATCTGGTCTACGTGTGACTCCAGACGCACAGCAATGTGGTTGACTCAACTGTTCTCTGTGCAATTAGGGATGATCAATAAATGCTAGCCTAGCCAGTGATGCACACATCCTATGAATAAATATACAACGAAAAATTGTGTATTGAGTTTTCCGAGATTCCCTGGCCTAATTTCCTTGGTTACCAGAAAAATTGAGCAACATGACATTTGACCTGACTGTGACATTAAAGCTGCAGATTGCAGACAAAGATTTAGTTCCCTAGTGTCCTTTTTAAAAAAGGTATTTCATCACTTGTGGCTAATCCGGTTAATTCGAACGGAAGTGGCCCAGATTTGATTCCACCCTCTAATCTTTTTCTTTCTTTTATCAACCGTCAACCTTCCCACTCCTGTACCTGCACTTACCTCCAAGCATCCACTTTTCAGTAAAAAGGGGAATAGTTTTGGTTTAAAATTGATCACACCGACAAGATGATAAAATTTCCACCTGCACCAACATTTGTGCTGATGCTAATGCTTGATATTTGAGAAATGTTATATTATGGTTCATTGTCCTTTTCCGTCCTCTTCCACGGGCTGAATGTTATCTTTCTGTGCTGTATCTGTCGTGTGGCTCCCAGGTACTAAATGTCATGAGCGCACTGAGGAAATGTACCAATAAAGATTGCTGCAATGAGTGTAAGAGGATATAATTACTGATTCTAATTGTATATTTGTAAATTGTTCCTGCCATATTGTGGCATTTTCCAAAAACATTTCATTCTTATGCTTTATCTTGGAGTTTCAAAGGATGCCTGGGAAATGGCAGGTTTATTTTAATACCAATTACCTAAATCCTGGTCGTACCTTAGTTATGTTAGTGCTCTTCTGGCTCAATAGAATCTCTGTTTGTCTTCCTGGAGTTAACGTTTCTAATCAGTGACCTTTCAGCAGAACATTCTAACAAACTGTGACATTGATCTGAAATGTTAACCCTGTGCCTCTCCTCTCAGATGCTGTCTGATATCTTGAGTCTTTATAGGACGTTCTGATTTGGTTTTTCCAGATTTCCAGCACTGGCAATATTTGATTTTTCAGGGAACATGATTGCAAATTTGAATTCCGTATGGAAATAAGGTAGTGACTGTGACATTAAAGCTGCAGGTTGCAGACAAAGATTAGCTCTGATGAAGGGTCTAGGCCCGAAAAGTCAGCCTTCCTGCTCCTCTGATGCTGCTTGACCTGCTGTGTTCACCGAGCTTTACACCTTGTTATCTCAAATTAGCTCCCTAATGTCCTTTTGAGAAAGGTAATTAGTCACCTGTGGCTAATCCAGTTTGTATATATCACTAGTCCAGTGTCAATATAACACAGAGTCTCTGGAACCAAAACATTGATTTTGCTTTCTCCCCCCAGATGCTGCCAGACCTGAGATTCTCCAGCAATTTCTGTTCTTGTTTCAGATTTCCAGCATCCACGGTTCTTATGTTTTGTTGTTCAATATGGGTGATAAACCGCCTGCTGCTGTTTCCTCACAAACCATTATAAAGATTACCACACGAACTGCAGTATGTTTTTGGGAACTGGCCAGGTGCATTATTACGCAGAAGCAAAGTAATCCAAATGCTGGAGATCAGAAATAAAAACACAGAAAATGCTGGTGAAGTTAGGTCGCTCTGCTCCACAGTTCCATTTCGACATTTTACTACTGCCCACCTCCTGTCACATTTTCTGAAGCGAGTTACTCAGACAGGAGAAAATGAGCAATTGGTATTGGCATCCCTGAACACATGTCTGCAGAGAATGCCAAAGAAAATGTTTTGGCTGAATCGTGAAGAATCTAAGGCTGTTTCGGAAGTTTGTAATGTGGCAGGACCCTGGAAAGTTTGCATTTTTGTAAATGGAACTTTGAATAGTTCTGAATTCTTTATGTGACCTTTTGCACATGCATAATCAGTGTGATTTCTGAGGACCAAGTAAGTTAAACGTCCAGTTGAAAGAAATTATCTTCCACCCTGTCTCAACAGCTGTTTCATTTTTGTTTTGCTATTGTTTCCATTGAAGGCCTTGATGTACACCAGCTGTTTCTCATGATCTTTGCCTGATAAGTCCCAGCAGACTCCATAGTTTGATAGTAGGTGGGGGGGAAGGTCGAATTATAGTTGACCTAGAATTCTTTTTATTCATTTGCAGAATAAAACATGGCTGGTTAGGAACATTCATTGCCCTTGCAAAGGTGCAGGTGAACCATGGGTTGAACTGCTGAAGCCCCTGAAGGTGTGTAGATAACCACAATGATGTCAGGAAGGACGGTCCCAGGATGTCGATCTGTTGACTGTGAAGGAGCAGTGACGTTGTTGCTAGTCAGGGTAATGTGCAACTTGGAGGTGAACCTACAGGGAGTGGTGTTCCCTTGTATCAGCTGTCCTTGTCCTCCTCGGTAGCATGTCAACTTTATCTTGTATTGGAGCTGTCACAATGACCTCCTGTTGTTTCACACTACTGCTGTGCAATAACAACATGAGAGGCATTCACCACTAATAAAATGCTACTGCTAAGTCAGAAAGGTGCCCTGGCTATCTCTCAAATGAGTGGTGTACTGTGTGAGTATCAGTGCTGGTGTGATGCTCTGAGTGTATGTTCCATGTCCTGAAGCATGGTGGATTGTATCAAACAGCATATTTCTTTGACCATTCCCAACAGCACTGGCCTTACTCAACAACCCTGTACCTGCAAACCTCTGAAGGCTGTGCCCAACATCAGGTGTGATTCTACAATCAGACAGCTTTTACTAAATAATCCAGAGTGTGCTACAAATTACACTGCCGACCAGTTTAAGATTGTCATTCAGGCTCGCAGTGAGGCATACTCAACCATAACCTGGAATATGCACAGATTGCTGTCCTTTGAAGAGAAAAGAACATTGCATAGACTAAAATAAAACAAAGAATTGCAGGTGGTGAAGATCTGAAACACAAACAGAAATTACTGCAGAAACTCAGCAGGTCTGTGGAGAAGAAACAGAATTAATATTTTGCATCCAGTACTCCTCCTTCAGAACTGATAGCTAGGAAGAGATGGGATATGTGCTGAAGACAGGGGATGGGGAGAAAAGGGTGAGTGATAGGTGGGGATGGAGACCAGAGAGAGAGAGAGAACGGCAGTTAGGCAGGCAAAGGGATGTTTGATGGTGAGCCAGGGAGAAAGAAAAGCTGATCAGAGGGATTATAAGTAGATGAAAATGGTTTGGCTGCTCTGAAAGCAGCCAATGTCATGATAGGGCCTGGAGTGTGGGAGTGGGAAAAGGACTTCGAGGAAGGTGTTCAGGTTCTGAAATTATTGAACTCTATTAACCCTCCCATAAGGTATTTGTTGAGACTCTGGAAATCCCTCGCTACATCTCTCTGCCTCCATTAAGAAAGTATTTCTACATGTTAATCAGGAAAGTAAATAAATAAATCACCATAATAACCCAAAAGTTGACACATTTCAGAAGAACAGTTTTCTCTTTTTGATTAAAAAACGATGGCTTCTCCTCTATCCAGTATTGGGTACTTGTTTTGCGTCATGTATTCAGGTTTGCAAAAAATGGCCTGCACTACTCTGCCACATTTAAATTGGATTAGAATTAGAATTAGGTTTATTGTCATGTGGACTCAAGTTACAAAAGAACAGGAGTACAGCGAAAAGTGTACAATGTCGCCGACACATGGTGCCATTTCAGGTACAATGTACCTCGGTGCAGAACATAGAGAAAATAAAGAAGGAAGTTGCACTGCATTACAGATATACGTTGTATAAGTTAGGAAAATAAGAAATAAAGCGAAAAAGTTAGACATTGCAGCCTTTCTATAAGGGTTTCCATGTGGTCTGACTGGGCTCCACCACTTCCTGACCAGTAGCATCTTCACCCCAGGTCCACTGGCCACTGTCCCCGCTCCGCTCCAGGCCACTGGCCAACCCTGCTCCATTCTGGGTTGCTAGCTGCCGTCCCTGCTCCGCTGGAAAAAAACACGAGACGGGCAAAAAAAGGGGAATAAAAAGAAAGGGAATGGATGAGCTCTGGCTGGAACGTCCTACTCCACTACCATCCTATCAGAATGGCAACAGCCAAGGAAATTTAGTCCCTCGAATGCAGTAAAAACAAGAAGCCTTCATGTATTATCTAATTGACTTCTTTTGTCCCCCCAGACCAGCATCAGTAAAACTTCATCTAGAATCTCTGTACACTGTTACGTGCAATTGAGCATTCACTCATTTTATGAAAGTAATGTATTACTCCATGCCATGTACACACATTCCCAAGACAGTATAGATGCAATAGTGTGCTAGTTCTATCCATACACGTGGGATTTATTAACAAAAAAAAAATGCATTGAGTGATAAGTTGAAACTAATCGCAAGTATAACAGTGAGGGGAAGAAAACTGAAAGAACAGTGGATGCTGAAAATCTGAAATAAAAACAGAAATTGCTGGAAAATACCAGCAGGTCTGTTTCAAGTCTGATGTCCGTTCTTCAGAACTGATGGTAGGTAGGAAAAGGATGGTTTTTATACAGAAAATAGGTGGGGGGAAGGGGTAAGGAGTAAATGATAGATGGAGATAGAGACCAAACAAAGAGAAAAGCAGTTGGACAAAGGAGTGGGTAAAGGTCAGTCTGGGAGAATGAGTAGCTGCTAATGGGGATTATTAGGACCTGACAATGGGTTGTTTGTGATAACAGCCCATGTAATGACAAGGCCTGGTGTGTGGGGGTGGGGGATAGCCTGGAGAATGGTGCTCAGGCCCTAGAATTGTTGAATTCAATATTAATTCCAGAAAGCTGCAGGATCACCGAGCAGAAAATGAAGTGTTGTTCCTGCAACACGCGCTGAACTCTGCTGGAGCACTGCAGCAAGCCTGAGACACAGATGTTGGCCAGGGAACAAACCACAACAGTGGCTGGAAATCTGAAACGTAAACAGAAAATGCTGCGAAGACTCAGCAGGCCAGCCGGAGATGATGAGCTGAGATGAGGAGGAATTTCTTCAGCCAGAGGATGATGAATCTGTGGAACTCATTGCCACAGAAGGCTATGGAGGCAAGTTAGAGATCGCATTAAAGACCAAGATAGATAGGTTCATGATTGGTAAGGGGATCAAGGGTTATACGGAGAAGGCAGGAGAATGAGGTTGAGTAACCTATCCGCCATGATTGAAGGCAGAGCAGACTTGATGGGCAGAATGGCCTAACTTTACTCTTACATCTTATGCCATGATGTGGAGGTGCCGGTATTGGACTGAGGTGGACAAAGTCAGACGTCACACAAGACCAGGTTGTAGTCCAACAAGCCTATATAAAATCGCAAACTTTGGGAGCGCTGCTCCTTCATCGGGGAGAGGAGTTCACCTGACGAAGGAGCAATGGTCCAGGAGTTTGGTGACTCCAAATAAACTTGTTAGACTATAACCTGGTGCCATGTGACTTCTGACTTGCACCTTGTCGTCTTTGCAGAGTTAACGTTTTGTTGCCAGATCTGCTGAGTTTCTCCCACAATTTCTGCTTTTGACCCTGTCATGTTTGTTGTTGATAGGATCCGTCTTGAGCTCTCTGCAACAAATGTTGGAAAGGAATGGCCTGTGGTTGAAGGAGCAGACCCTTGCAGAATCTGCTACTTCCACGTATCCTGTTTTTAGATGCTGCTTTGCAGGCCAGGCTTGGGAGCTGATAGGCTGTGTTTTGGACAAACTGGGTTTCACTGAAGCAATTAGTGATTTCTGGTGCATAGAAAGTGCACAGCATAGTTGAACATGCTAGTGAGATTGATTGTTCTTCCTCTTGGGTGCCTGGAGGATGTTTGCTCACTGGAATGGTGCGCTCCTGCAGAAGGGAAATCCCCCTTTCTTGTTTCCCACCCCATGTCAATTATATGACTTGGTTACACTTTCCAGTTGTGTCTAGCACCGAAAAGTGAGGCTGTTAAAATGTGCACGACTAAAGAGCCGGGAATTCTTCTGATCCTGGTATTAGACCCGTCGGTGTGTATACCTCAAGCAACGGACCAAAGAAGTTGAATCCCAAAGATTATTTTAAGAGCGATGCGATGCTCACAGCTCTGCACTTGTCTCTGAGCATTAGATTGTCTCTGGTATCCCAGCAGTCTGAACAGCTTACAAGAGCCCTGCCACAAGCTCTATCAGTAGGTTTCACCAAGCAACCCCACACTCCAGGAGCATGCCATGATGACCTGATGAGATATAAGGCCACGAATACCAACTCGTTACCATTGTGATACTGCACTTCTGCTTACCATAGGAACTGGTCTGTTCCTGTAACTTTGGAAATCCAGACAACCCAGAGTTACACAGTGAGGTGGAAACCTGATGTAGCAAGTAACTGCCCATTTCTTCCTCTTTGCTACACCTGGGAACTGAATTTTTGCCAAGTGGCATAACGTGGCCTTATTCCTCCAACTAAAGAAAGACGCTAACATTTGCATCATGTGATTTGAAGGGTGACATCGTGTTTAAACACACAGACAGCCCAAAGATCATGAAACAGGGATTTTTTTTCTATTTCACTAGCATCAGGAAGCAGGAAGGAACATGAAGAATAAACAAGGAACTATTTACACTCTACATATAGAAAACTACAGGGGTTATGCTGAGCTCAGGAATTCCTTCTGTCTGACTGCTTACTCTTCCCATCCACCCTGTCCCTGCCAAAGATGTGCACTTCCTACCAGCGAGAATCCATTTGACTGCTCCAGCTGCCTGTTACAGGTCCTGGTAAATTGCCCAGTTTCTTTGTTCAGTGCCCTTTATCACCATTACCACCTTATTGCCAGAGCTCCTGCTATATATTGACATAGTTTCCTTCTCTGCAGATGCTTTCTGTTTTTACTGTTGAATATCTCATAGTTTGTATTTTTTTTCTTTCTCATCTTTGCCGGGATGACGCTCTTTCCAACTTTTCTAAGTCGTGCTTCGGGCTCCAAACTTGACAATGAATAAGCTGTCTTTAGTTTGACTTCTGCTAATGCTAGTCATTATTGCAAAAAGGTTTTGTCAAGCTGTCCACAGACAATGCATTTAGGCCTGATCCCTTTGACTCAGTGTATTAGTGGAGATCGGAGGTGGCCTCTGCTTAGAGCCTAACCTATGGCCTGTAATGTGGCAACTATATCTTAGTGGCATCATGGATCTAGCTAAAGCATACAGACTGCGGCGGCTCAAGAAGGCAGCTCACCATCACCTTATCAAGTGGCAACTAGGGATGGGCACTATATTGAATTGAATTCGTTTTATTGTCATGTGCGCTTGCTGGGTCAAAA